TTAGGCAGCTTCTTTAATCTCTCTGGCCTCTCTTTTCCTCATCTGTGAAATGGGATACTACTTAACTCGAGAGGCTTCTGTGCAGGTTCGCTGAGGCGTGTTGGGTTCAGAGCTTTAAGAACAGCCAGCAGGCAGTGAGGACGGCAGCTGTTAGGATTCTGTGCTGACTCGGGCCAGATGCCACGTGCCTCCCTCAGCCCGCCACCAGCTCCGCCTGGCTTCCTGTCCTTCTCTCCTTTGGCACTCCATCCTCTCATTCTTTTCTTTTTAAATCTCTCCCCCCACCCCCGGGATTTATATTTATTTATTTGACTGTGCGGGCTTTAGTTGCCGCGCACGGGACTGTCCATCTTCACTGTGACCTGCGGACTCTTTAGTCGCAGCATGAGGGATCTTGTTCCCTGACCAGGGATCGAGCCCGGGGCCCCCTGTGTTGGGAGTGCGGAGTCTTGGCCTCTGGACCACCAGGGAAGTCCCTCATTCTTTCTTTAGAATGAAGAAGGGTGGCCACTCCTCCCTTAATACTCGAAACTGGTATTCGAGGGAGGCCTTCTTATCCCCAGCCAACAGAGGTGGGAAACCGAGGCTGGGCGAGTTCCGGTGACTTCCCCACGCCCACCAGTAGGGGCGCGGCAGAGCGGGCAACACCCGGCCCCGCAGCTCCCGGGGGAGAGCGGCCCGGGCCGAGAGCAGCTGCCAGCAGGACGCCCGGCCGCAGCAGTATTTCTGTCACTGCATTCTTCCCGGGCAGCTCACTCTTGGGACTCTGGACAGTCGCCAAGGAGGTGTGCGCGAGAGGGCAGGAGGAGGACTTCCTGTGGAGGCGGCAGGGGGCCAACGGAGCTGCTGTTTACCGAACCCTTGCCGCGTGCCCTCCCGTGAGCCAGGCCTGGAGCAGTCCCCACGCCACAGCCTGCGCCTGGGTGTCCTGCTGTGCTGGTCATCTCTCCGCCCCCCGGGGCCTCCCAGCAGTGTGGCACCGAGTTCGGCCAGAGCAGTCAATTTTCCAAACCACATCCAGGCCCAATGACCTCAGCCCACCACCGGGGGCAGAAATGGTGGACCTTGTGTTCCTCCAGGGACCCCCAGGCCTCTCACTAAGCATCCTTGAGTGTGTGTGTGTGAATGGGTCCGTGTAGGTGTGTGCATGGATGTCTGTGTTTGTGTGTGTGGATGGATATGTGTGTGTGGATGGATGTGTGTGCATGAATGCGTATGGATGTGTGAGTGGATGTGTGGATGTGTACGTGTGGATGTGTGAGTGTATGTGTGTATATGGGTGTCTGTGTTTGTGTGTGTGTATGGATGTGTGAGTGTATGTGTGGATGGATGTGTGAGTGGATGTGTGGATGGACGTGTGAGTGGATGTGTGGATGGATGTGTGTGTTTGTGTGGAGGTGTGTGCATGAATGCGTATGGATGTGAGTGGACGTGTGGATGTGTACGTGTGGATGTGTGAGTGTATGTGTGTATATGGATGTCTGTGTTTGTGTGTGTGTATGGATGTGTGAGTGTATGTGTGGATGGATTTGTGTATGGATGTGTGTGCATGAATGCATATGGATGTATGAGTGGATGTGTGGATGTGTACGTGTATGTGTGTGTATGGATGTCTGTGTTTGTGTGTGTGTATGGCTGTGTATGGATGTGTGTGTGTATGGATGTGTGAGTGTATGTGTGGATGGATGTGTGTGTGGATGGATGTGTGAGTGTGTGGATGTGTGTGCATGAATGCGTATGGATATGTGGATGTGTACGTCTGGATGTGTGAGTGTATGTGTGGGTGAATGGATGTGTGGATGGATGTACGAGTGTGAGTGAGGGCTAACTCCTGCTGTTTCCGTGCCTCCCGGGGGGCCGTAAGGGGCAGAGGTGGCATTGGCCAGGCAGCCTCCTCAGGACTGCCCCCTTGAAGCTGGACTGCGGTGGTGCTGGACTTGATTAAAGAGCGAGGCACCAGTGGAGCCCAGGGGTCCTCTGCCTCTTTCTGCTGTAAGCTGCCTGGCCCCCACCATAGGGACGGGAGCGAGGCCCCCAGAGCGGAGCCCGGCCTCCTTCACCACTGCATCTCCTTCACCCAGAACAGTGCCCGGCCCTCAACAGGCCTTCGCTGACTGACCGATGATGGTCTGATGGACCAGCCAGCCCCAGCGATAAACAGGAGCCAGCGTGGCAGGAACTTGCTGGGCCACTGAAGGCTGACGGGCTTCACAGGGTGTGGAGTGTTGAGATGGGCTGGACGGAAGGAGTGTGAGGGGGACTCCAGAAAGCACGGCTTCAACCTGGCTGAGGCCGCTGCTAATGGGAGGGGCCGACAGCCTGGCCTGGGGGGCGGCAGTCTGGGAGTCGAGGCTGCCTGGCGTGTCACGTGGCATCAGGCTGTTAAAGGACTCCTGTCTCCAGCACTGCCTTCTCTGTCTCTGATCCAGGAGAAGGGACTGTGGGGTCTCAGAAGCCCTCCGGACTGGGAGTTACAAGATCTGGGTTTTCAATCCTTCTGCAAGCCGCTCCCGGTGACCCTGGGCCTGTCCCTCCGTCTGTCCATCGCAGCTTCCCAGGACGGTGGTGGATCCAAGAGGCTTGAATCTGAGAAGGCCCTGGACCCCACTCTGCCCCTGACTCTCCTGAAGGTAGTAACTCTGCCAAGGTGCCACGTCCCTCGGGTGCCTCCTCTAGCACGAACTGTCCACATCCCAGGCCAGAGCACCCAACCTCTCGAGGCCTGGTACCCGCTCTGCCACATCCCGCACCTCGGCCTGGCCCACCCTCCTGTCCTAGAAGCTGGGCCTCCCCATGGAGCAGTCCTGACACAGAAAAGGAAATTTGTTAGCATAATCACCAGTTCAATTCTCTCTCCTCACTTCTCTGTGTAAACCATTTGCTGGTGCCCGGAGGCAGGGCTTCTCCCGAAGCCAGCAGGCCCAGCAGTGGTGAGGTTTGGGAACTGTGGAATCCCGCGCTAATTAAGTGGAAGTGATGCTCTAGGGGGAACCAGGCTCGTATTCCTGCCACTCTGAACACAACACATCAAACGCAAAAGCGGCCCCTGGAAATCCCAAGGAAGGCATGGAGGAATGCGAAGACAAAGATGATTAGAGGGCTGGGAAATGAGATGGACGTGGGATGAAAGGTTAAGGCAATTGAAGTATTTAGCCTGAAGGGAAGAGGAATAAAGGGCAGGCTGCTTAATCATTCCCTCCTCTGTTGTAGAAACACGATTCCCCCTTGATTCTGTCCCTCCTCCAAGCAGGTATTCTCTTGTGCTCGCTCTGAATCTCATCCATCTCTGTGCTCTGTTCACTTGTCCATTCATTTCGCCGTCTATGGAGCATCGACTCTGCATCAGACACTTAGCCAGGTTCTGGAGATGAAATCACAGAGTCTCTGACTTGAAGGTCAAGTGGGAGAAGTGGGCCCATAACCCCAAACAACCGATACTATAGAACTGGTTGGGCTAGAGGGCTTCAGGTCCTGTCTAGGAGGGAAGGCCCAAGCATCAGGTGCAAAGGGAACTGGTGAGCAAAGTGGGTCCTCTGTCCTGTCTGGACATCAGGGAAGGCTTCCTGCAGGGGGTGACCCCCAAGTGCAGTCTTCACCATCTGAGCCACCAGGGAAGCCCCTCCAAGTGCACCTTGAAGAAGGACTCGGTGAGCCAGGCGCTGTAACCCGAAGGGTTCCTTTTCAATTTACGCTGGATCTGCTTCTGTGCCTTTCACCCTTTTTTGTTTTTATAAACATACCTAATGGCCTGCCTCAGGGAGATAACCTGAGCGGCCCACCTGTGAAGGACTGTAAGGAAGGGAAACTGATACATCCCCCGGCCTGAGGCTCGTCCTTCTAAGGGGACACTTGCAAGGACTGAATGGTCTTTGTACTTGAGTTCCTCACCTCCCCTGACACCCGACCCCATCTCAGATCTATGCAAGGAACTGGCAACCAGGCCCTGACAAGATGGTTATTTTGAGGCACTAGCCTGCCATCTTCTCCATCTGCCAGCTCCTGAATAAAGTCCCTTCCTGATCCCAGCACCTTGGATTCATTGACTTGTCTTGTGGCAAGCAGAGTGAGCTTGGACTCAGTAACAGCAAGGACAGCGGGGAAGGCATTCCAGACAGTTGGAGTAGCCCAAGCAAAGGCCTAGGACATTCAATGCAGAGTGGATATAGGCTGGTGCAAACTGTTGGGCTTGACCGAAGTAAAAGGTAGAGACCTCGGTGGTGTGGGGTATGGCCAGAGGGCCACACAGGGCCCAGATCCCAAGACCCTAACCCTGTAGTAGGTAACGTGGGCTTCAACTGGATGCACCACTTTCCGGAGTGTTCAGAATAACCCAATTTTGTGCAGTGTTCAGAGTCCTCCCCAGATAAAAGGTCCTTCTAGGTCCACTGAGTTGAGTGACATTGAGTTAAGCTAGTGGTTCTCAAGTGAAGGGCGATTGGCGGAAGGGAACATCTCTTTCCTTTTCTGCAGATATTTTTGAGGCCTGGGACGCCGCTGGCCATGCTGTAACACACAGGGCAGCCCCTTAGAGAAAGCGCTGCCTTGGCCCTGCATAGGCTGGATCTCCAGCTCTCTAGATGGCTGTGGTCTGTTTGTTATCAACAGTCTCTCCACTAGTCTCTGCACTAGATCTCCTCTAGATTATGCATGTCTGAATGTCTGAATGGCTGCGATTAGATAGTCAGTATCTGTGTTACCCAGTCGAAGCTCGCTCTGCTCACCAGGTTACATTTGGGGGAGGGAGGAGGAAAAAATCCAGAAGAGGACATCCTGGCTGGGGTGGGTGGAGGGGGCCGCACTGGGTGGAGTCTGGATCCTGGGGGATACTCCTGCCAGCAGGAGGCCATTCTGGGAGGTTCTTCCATCTTAGCAGCCTCCATCAACTGCAGCTAGGGGGTGTGGGAGTCAGACGCAGCCCAGCAGAGCTGGGCGGATCAGATGGGGACCCATTGTGTGCTGAATGTGCTATGGGAGCTGAGAAGAGCATCCCCTGTGGTCAGGTTCTTCTTGCCTGTTTTAATTTTCTTCTAGCATCCTTTAACAGCTGTTTCTAGGTTTGTTTGCCTGGCTCTCCTGTTCACTCCCCTTCCCACCCCAGAATGTTGGCCCCGTAAGGCAGGGACTTTCATCTGTATTGTTCACTGCTTTATTCCCAGGGTCTAGAACAGTGCTAGAATTGATGCTTTTAAACTGTGGTGTTGGAGAAGACTCTTGAGAGTCCCTTGGACTGTAAGGAAATCAAACCAGTCAATCCTAAAGGAAATCAGTCCTGACTATTCATTGCAAGGACTGATGCTGAAGCTCAAACTCCAACACTTTATCCACCTGATGTGAAGAACTGACTCACTGGAGAAGACCCTGATGCTGGGGAAGATTGAAGGCAGGAGGAGAAGGGGATGACAGAGGATGAGATGGTTGGATGGCATCACCGACTCAATGGACATGAGTATGAGCAAGCTCCGGGAGTTGGTGACGGACGGGGAAGGCTGGCGTGCTGCAGTCCAGGGGGCCACAAAGAGTCAGACACGACTGAGTGACTGAACAGTGCAGGCACATAATATGTGTTCCATTAAAATGTGTTGAAGCAACAAATGGTGAAACCTCCTCCCCACCCCAAATACAACACTTTCTGGGACAGACCCAAGTGCCTGGGTGCTAGGCCAAATTCTGCCACACATGGTCCTTCTCCTCTGTACCAACTCACAGGAGAGGTTCCCCCGGGAACCGCCCTCCTAAACCATGCAGCATTTGTTCATTGTCTAGACGGTGCCAGAGCTGTTTTAGGATAAGACACAGCAACTTGAGCCACACCCCCCGAATCTTCCCTGAAAAATCTGGGGTGATGGACTAACCACTAGCTGAGGGAGGAGGGAGTGGGGATGATGCAAAAGGCCAAGCAGCCTGGCAGCCAAATGAACTGTAGCCAGTTGACAGGATGGTGGCATGAACAAAGGCCCTCGCTGCCTCCCGGAACTGTTGCCAAGCATTGTGACACTTGGGCTAATCGCATCTGAGTGCGCTGTTGCAGATGAGGGCCCACAGGCTGGCAGGGCTTCAGTCACTGCCTGCTTGCCCAAGGAAGCCCATTCATCACGGTGCGAGGCCAACAGGGCGCTCCCAGTTCCACAGGGCGAGGGGACCAAAGAAGGGAGCGCAAGTGCCTACTGGTCCCCTTGGAAACAAATGCAAGAACATAAAAACCCGTGGGTCGAAACAGGTGCCCAGGTCTAGCCGGGGTTGCCAAGGAGTTCTGTGTCAACGTGGGGAAGGAGGGTCTGTGTACTCGCAAGACTGCAGCCAAGAGGGCTTTCGTTGAGCTTGGGCTCATGGCCTGGGCTGTGGGCAGCAAGGATGTTAGAAACCTGGGTTCAAGTCCCAGCTGACCCTTCAGGCTGGTGGTTACAGGCTGCAGAGGAATTCCTTCTGAGCTTTGTGGCCCCAGGCAAGTTATCCATAAAAAGCAGTGTGGGTGAAGGAAGGTTTACCTGTTCTGCTAACCTAACAGGTTTACTGGGACAAAGAAAGAGTAGAAGGGCCTTGGGAACCATAAAGCCTAGAGTGCATCTAGGCGTGGGGGGATGCCACTGGGCCCTCTCAGGGATGGGGGATACATAGGGAACCAAGGCGGGGGGTGGGGGGTGGCCTCCGGGTACCTGTGGAAGCCAACTGGCATTCATGGCACACCCCTCACCTGCGGGAGGGAGATGCCTTCTCACACCTGGAGGTGATTCTTGGAATTGCTTTTAAAGTCTCTTAATGGACAACCCCACAGAGGTCCAGAGATGCACAATTCACCTGGGCTATTATGAACAAGTCCTTTAGGCAGATAAATTTATGGTTGGTTCATAGTCACATGGTACTCTCCCTTTGGTGAAGTTCATACAAACTTAATCCTTAAATAACACCAGAAGATAGATATTAGTATACTCATTTCACAGGATGTAATTTTACAGACTCAGAGAGGTTGGGTGAGTTTCTCCAAGTCACACAGCCACTTTGTAGCAGAGACAGGCTTTGAATCAAGGCCTCTGATTACTGGGCTTCACAGGTGGCACTAGTGGTAAAGAACCTGCCTGCTAATGCAGGAAATGTAAGAGACGTGGGTTTGATCCCTCTGTCGGGAAGATCCTCTGGAGGATGGCACGGTAACCCACTCCAGTATTGTTGCCTGAGAATCCCATGGGCAGAGGAGCCTGCCAGGCTACGGTCCGTAAAGTCGCAGAGTCGGACACACTGAAGCAACTTAGCATAGAACTAACACCCAAAAAAGATGTCCTTTTCATTATAGGGGACTGGAATGCAAAAGTAGGAAGTCAAGAAACACCTGGAGTAACAGGCAAATTTGGCCTTGGAGTACAGAATGAAGCAGGGCAAAGGCTAATAG